CACTCGTGACACTATGAAAAATAGGGAGTACCGTTTAAGATTTTTGTGTTAACCTTGAAAGCACTTTCCAAGGTCATTCTAAGGTCAAATTAATATCATCATCTGATAACTTTTTAAAAATCCTATTACTTTTATTTTAAACACTTTTTAGATAAATCAATATTTTTTTTAGATATTAGCCGTTTTAGAACTTTTACCATGCATTGTAACACTAAATTTCTCGGAACCCACGGCATATCCGGTCCCGCCATTTTCCTTATTTGCATCTTATGTTATCAACTTTCGCTGATATCAAGCATTTTCAATAACTTGTTGTACAAACCGAGATGGTCCCTTGTTAGATATTTGTAATAGGATGTAGAGTGAGTTATTATTGTTTGTCTTTGAAATTCTTAGTTTTTCGCAGATATTCGTAATAGGACATAGAGTGTCGTTGTTTGAAGGCGAAGGATTTCTTGGTTTTTCAAATAAACGCCACTTTATACGTTCCACTACGAATATCTATGAAAAACTAAATATTTCTAAGATCTTGTCTCAATCTATGTAGTTTTTCGTAAAATTTTTCCACCAGAGTAATTTAAGCTTTTTAAAACATGATAATATATAATTTTTTTTTATTTCCGACTTTTACTAAATAAACTCTTGTGTTTTGCTTCATTTTTGCTCTAAAAATACTTTTGAGAATCTCAAAAAATATAAAATTTTGTACTATTTTGCAATAAAGAAATTATAAAAATCTAATCAGCGTTCAATTAATTCGACAATAAGAAACAGCCTCTAGCATTTTCTTAGATGATTGTGCAACAATATATGAGAGAGATACTTCCCACACGGCACAGAATTTACAGCAATATCGCTGTAAAAGCTCTGCAATATTGCTATAACATGCAATATTGCAGTAGTGCAGATACTGCAACGTTTGTGCAATTTTGTGCTGTAGGGGGGTTCATATATATATATACATATATATATATATATATTTAAAAAATAACTATCCTTATAGAAATTTAATTTGAGTATTAACTCATTAATCACTTATTTTGAATATTAAAAGTACTGTTACAATTAAAGTGCTTTAAATTAAATTAAAAAAAATTGTTTTAACATGGTTCCAATAAAATCAGGTATGAAGGGGTTAATCCTGGAAGATAATGATTAATTTCTTATTAAACTCTAAACAACAGTGTAAACTTTTAGTACTTAAAATAAGTTATTAACTATTCTCTTTCAATATTAAATTTGAAAAAGTATACGCATTAATACGTGACTGTGAATTGGAGTCTACGCTGAGAATGAT